CTTTTGTTCGTTATTTTCAGTAGTTTGAGCTGTTACGAGAAGCAAAACAAACGATCTTACTCGGCTGGAAGCAGCTCATAAAAATAATGAGCAATTTTCTGAATTTACCACCTAAGAAACCTTTTAACATGTAGACTGCATTATCATTATCGAAAAAATGTTTTGTGACACTCAACTGCTCGACATGATAATCATTTAGCCTCTATTACAGGCCATACATATACAAAGTTTTCATTTTATAGAAGAGCTGTGCTCTTTAGATTAACGACTAGAAATATCGCTCACCAGCAGAAATTCTTCGATCGGAGAATTTTAAGATTCTAAAATTCCTTTCCAACGTTGAAAGTTGTTTACTGGTAATTCCTGCCATGTCTGTTCCTGGTTAAATGGAAAGGAGCAGTGAGAAGTTTATAATGTCCGGTATGAAAGGAGAATCAAAGATTCAGTCACTGTTTACATTATCCCTGCTAGACACTTAATGAATAAGCCATAAGATCATATTATCCAACGGTGAACATTTTAGAAGTATATTCTAAGGTATAATGTGCGTCATCAAATCCGCGCTCGTAGAACCTCTTTATTGGTCTTTGCAATCACCATTGCATTCTGTGTACAGCCCTTGTTTTGATGAGTTCTTTCCTTCTCTTTGTTTTCATCTTTTTAAGGTATGTGTTTGTCCTGTTTTCAAGTGTAATACTATTGCAGCTCCTTCAAATCACATCTCTGAACCCCTAATAGTTTTAACGTTTCGCCGTTAGAATCATATCTGAAGATTCTTCAGTAATTCATGCTTTTATTCAAAAATCCTCCTTCACCTCTCATCGTATTCTGACTAATTACACATTTTTATGAAGAAATTTTAAACAAATTTCTTTGTATTTAAAAAACTTGATCGAGTGCCATACTGTTTTATTCTACTGCTCTCTTTATGAGGTAGGTTATACAGCTCTATGGATTATCGAATGGTACGTCTGGAGAACAACTATAATCAGCAATAATCAACGTCCTATTCACTCTGGCTAATGGCAGCAGTCCAACACCTGTCGTTCCTAATTACAACACCCGTTTTTAGTCCCATTTTCTGTCTCCGTCACCGAACATGAAAATCTGAAAACTATTAAAAGCTGTAATTCGCCGTTCATAAACACAGATTGTCTTCTTCTTTTTCTACAGGGTCATAAAACAACAACAACGTTGTCATAAGGAACAAAATACAAGATGAGGACAATTCAAAGATTAAGCAGAATTTTATTTTTTGTAACACTATACATATTCTGATTCGTCCTTTCATAGTTACTACGAAAGAGGCCAAGGTGTGAGGACGACACATCGATCAAATTGGTCATTGTTGTGTCTCCATTAATACCATCTGAAGTAATCACCTGATCAGTCCAGTTTTGAAGGTATAAGACTAATTCTCAGTGCTACAGTGGTATTATAAGTCTATAAAAAAATTTTCTTTCTTTCGTGCACTCGTATATATGTTTTCTTACGTTTTCTGCCGTAGAAAGGAAGAGGGACGATAGGAGCCAAAATCGGCCCACGCTCAGATCAGTCTTATGTTAACTCATCTGATGCAGTTTTGTCCGCGATCAACGCTAGCATATTTTTAGACTTTATAAATCCTTTTCAACGCCCCCCAAGTCGGAGACAGAAGACGAAAAACAGCCTACCTGGGCTATATAAATTTCATCTGCAAGTTTCTGAATAGTCTTAATGGATAAAACAAAATTGGAAATTTCTTCTGCCAATTTACTTGATGAAGATGATGGAACCGTAATACTGATTTAAAATTTATCCGCAAAGAAAGTGCACAAAATTAATGAACCGCTTCGTAGTGATACTATTTGAGCTTGCATTGTAACTCCGATATCCAAGAAGCAGAAATGGAATAACTTTTCCTCTATTAAACAAATTTTTTTTTAATTTTTTTTGTTTTATTTGTCTAACCGTTGTCCACCACTGATAAATGGCGCAACTCTCTAGTCACTTTTGGCTCGAGGAGTTGCATTGTCGCAGATGGAGCTTTTTACCGCCTTCTGGCGTTTCCAAGCACACAAAAAGCATGGAGTATCGTCCAATGTATCTAGATTTGTTAATTCACTGGTCGATGCATCTAAATGTGTAAAAAGAAAGCCATCGAGACATCGCACGTTGTATCCAGATAAATATGGAGATATCTAGATGCATCCAAATACAGATAAATGTTTTTCTCGATGTAACGACATAACATGGCCCATGCATCTACATGAGCAATGCTGTGAACAATGCATTTAGCGTCCATTAAGTGGTTCATGCACTCAGTGATTCAGACAATACGTCTAGATGTCATTGTCAATGCACGGAGATGTCAGTGTTTCAATAAATACATTTATTCCAATACTGTGCTCTGGTACGTGAATGGAGACAAAACAATATGCTTATTTCGTGCACTTTTCGTTTTTGACCTACCCAACTTCATTGGATGAAAGTTCTGAGTTTAAACCAAAATCAAATGAGATTTTATCTTTGGTTTTTAGTTTTTTCGGTTCTACCGCATGTACGGAGATATTTGAAGATGAAATCGTATTTGATTTTGGTTTAAACTCAGAACTTTCATCCAATGAAGTTGGGTAGGTCAGAAACGAAAAGTGCACGAAATAAGCATATTGTTTTTGTCTACGTCCACGTACCAGACTACTGTAAGCAAGCACTGCTTTACTTGCCTATTTTCTGGCTTCTCAAGGCATTGAGATTTGCATTGTGTGGCACTGGACTCAACCCGATACATCTAGATAAGTCAATATTGTTTACTCTTTTACCCAGATGTTCTTGCTGGTGCATAGCCCAATGCTCAAGCAAGAACATCTAGATTTTGCCGCTGGGCAATTTTTGCTTGGGTTGAAACATGAATTGTTTTAAAAACAGAATGAGTTCTAAATCTTTATCTTATGAATAATTTGAAACAGAAGGGTAACTTGCTCGAAATATATAAATGGGCTAACAGTTTAACTCTCACTCTCACCTAATGGACAAAAAATTCTGATTCCGCATCTGTTTTAGCATATAATATCACACATCATTTGATTCCAAGAAAGTTAGCATATTTTCTGAGATACACGCGAACGTTTTCCCATACTTTTAGCAGTTTCACAAACTCGGACTCTCCAGAGCCCTCCGATTTCACCAATCAAAAAAATCAAGACCTGCCCATTGCCAAATTTTCTACATGACTTGTCTCACCAAAACGAGAAAATAAAAAACTGTTTTAATGCGGTTTCTCATAGGAGTGTCGAAACTACAAAAAGCACCTTTCTTTCCGTTCTTTTTCTCAACGCACTGAAACCCGTTTAAAGTGATTATACAGGGTTGCGAGAAATGTTTTGTCCGGGAGTATAGCTCCAATGACAAATGATATTAATATTGAATTTTATACCAAATGAAAGCTCGTGAAAAATGGGGTTAACAGATATAGTTGGTAATGTGATCGATAGTCATTTGACTCTAGGTTTACTGGAAATTTTAGGATAGGGAAGGAAATACGACTGAGAAAACTTTTTTCCAGAAGATATTATTTGAAATTTATTTGACTTTAAACTGATAGATTTATTAGTTTAATGTTTCTTCTTTTTGAAGTTCATTAGCATAATCAATAATCTGTGTGATCACCGTTCGCTTTTTTCACAGCACGTAATCTTGAGAGGTATGAACATAAAAGGTTTTCAAAAAGTTCTGTGTCTGTCTCCATGTTTTGCAAAATATCGATGATATGGTTTTTCAATGTTTCTTCGCTATACCGATCACTTCCAGTCTCTGACAGCATTCTTTTCTCAACTTCATCTTTGATTATTGTTCCCATGTGTTCAGCTACGTTTAGATCAGGTGAATTTCCGGCCCAAATATTGTTACCCCAAAACTTGATATTGTTGTCTTGTATCAATTGTTGAGTCATATTTGGTTTCATACACGGTGCTTTATCATGAACAAATATGACTTCATCCACGTCAATCACGTTTTCTTCATTTTTCATGAAAGGACCCACGTGTTGAACTGTAAAACGTGTTGAAAGTAAAAATCATAACAGTCGGAAAAATTGTCTTATGTGAAGTTTTTGAAATTCACTTCGTTTTATATAGGTGACAATAGTCTATCGGATTATTAACTGTACCTGTTAACCCCATTTTCCAAGAGCTTTTATTTGGTATAAAATTCAATATTGATATCATTTGTCATTGGAACTATACCACCCGGGCAAAACATTTCTCGCAACCCACTTGTAGCACCATCGAAAAAATGAAATTTTTGATGGAGCCACGAGAGCTTTTGATGAGTTGTCTATTTAAAAAAAGTAGGTATCTACTTCAATATAATAGCCGAATGAGTTTTCAGAGAACTTTCTGAAGTACCATGACTTTCTGGCTTTCTCTTCGGGTCATAGTAGTGAGAGATAATGTATGTAAAACAGAAATGAAAATAGTTAAAAGGCTGTTATTATCCATAGTCAGCATCTTCTTGAAACACAGCTATGAATCAATGAGTAAGACAAAAATCATTACGTAATATTCAGCATTAGATAACGTAACATTCATGTCTATATAATCCATGTACTAGTTCAGCTAGATGAAACTTTGATGCTTTCTTCTTTCTATGCATGCTATACAAGACACAGTATAAAAGCAAGAAATAGAGAAAAGAACGAATTTTAGAAAAATCCAAAAGAAAGATCCCCTCCGCTATGAAATTACTGTATATTCTGGCAACTTCTCAGATTAAAAAGTTAATAAATTTGAAGGTACCCTTCTCCAGTTTTTCTGATAGTTTTAAGTATACAAGTTGTACTCTATGTCAACCTATTTTTTGGAAAACGGTTTTTTTACTTTTTAAGATATAGACATCTCAATATTAGACTAAAGTTAGTAAAATGTATGGATTTCACTTTAATTTTAGAAAGTGCTCGAATTTGGAATCACCTCGATCACTTTTCGGAATATCATAGTCAGAGAAGTCCAAAAGTTTTTCCAGTGAAATTACTAAAATTAAATTGAAAAAGATATGTGTCGAATTATAAGTCTCTTAAAATTTCATTTCTTTATACTGCACATAAAAGTCATCACTCTAAGTAGACTGATCTATTTCCGAAACATTTTATCTGAATCTTATATGATAACATAATCTAGTTATTATAGTTATAGTTCATCGAAAATTCTATTTTTTGATGATGCTACGAGTGATACTCATGGCCCTATATCTCAAAATTCGAATGGTATCTATTTCTGAAATTTAGCTCGACACGTTGTCGAATATTTTCTCTTTCAAACAGGATAAAGAGTAGAAATGGATATTCCCTAATCCATTTCGGTTTAACTCATAAAGTTGAGAGATTTTGTATTAAACTCATGATAAGCGATACTTTTCCTCTGCAGAAGAGGACTCAACATTTGAACTATACAGGCACAGCAAAGCATAGAAAAACATTAAGGGGCAAAATGCATTTACATATATCCCATTCCGCAGTCAAAAATTACAGTGAAACTTATAGTCGCCTTTATGAAGAATGGCAAACTAATCTCTGACAATGGCTCCTAAAGAACTCTCGAGAAACTGCTGTCTATGACCCAGATAACCATTTATAAATCAATGAAAACGCTCTAATTTATTGAACATTAGAACAATTAGACAGCAGTTTCTTGAGAGTCCTTTAGGAGCGATTGTCAAAGATTACTTCGACATTTTTCATAAATTTAAATGAATGATGAAAACTATTTTTATCAAGCATGCAAACATAACGCTGAATCGTAGAACGGAAAAAGAAAAGTGATACACAATGGAAGAAAAATTCGTCGACTTTGTCCATTTCTTTACATTTCAAAAACTGCCCAAACAGGTAGGTGATGGTGAGAGTTACAAGTAAAGAATATAACTTTTTGTTAATTCTGTTACATCCGCTCTCTACAAAAGCA